GATAAGCACAACAATATCTACAAGTTATAAAAGTTCAAGTGAGATTTTGAGATGGCTATAGAACTATGTGGTCAGATCTTATTAGCTTACTGATCAGAACTTGCTCAAAAATTGTTGTATAAAATAGTTTCGACAGTCCTTCCCTCCAAAATCGAAGGTATGGGAAAAACAAACTAGTGTATCTTGTAGAGTAAGTTTCGCTCTATCGAGCTGGTAATACCACCATTTCCGTTCATGCCAACTTTCTCATTAACTTTTTCGAATACTTTTCTCTGCAGCGCATTACATTGTGAATAACTAACTCCTACAAATATGATTGAAAATATTTTTAATTCTTAGAGATTCTGATGCAGTTTTTCACAAGAAATCCAAATCTGTAATTGGTTTTAAAATTTGAACAAATAATTATTGACTTACATTGTGTTTTTGATAAGCTACAATTTCCATTTATTGCATAAAAATGTACAAATAGTATATGACCCACAACTATAGGAAAGTAGGGTCAAATCTTAACCAATTTATTATCAAAATGATCAGCGGAAAAAGCTCTGCAAACTCTGAAAATTTCAATGAATTTGGACATGGTCACTATATTGACTGACGACATCCCATGGACGTACCCAAGTATCATTAACTTCATCCTTAATGCTAGAATTTTATATCATTTTACTTATCATATCGTGTAGAAAATAGGTGCCCTAATGAAAATATTCATCAAGTGACTATGACTTGCCAACGTGAGTACTCAACTGATTCGCACGATTACTCGAGTGTTTGTATGTGCATTTATACTTTTCATGTACTACAGCAAGTACTCATATAAGTTGTTTCTTTAACATTTACTTGATGACAAAAATATGAGTACTCAATATAATAGTCATCTTCGTTTTTTCCACAATGTTTAACAAAACGTTTATGCATTAACATGTAAAAAAAATAGAATAAGGTTGTGTCACAACGAACAATGATCTAATTAAATGAAAAATAGAAAAGAATTATTTTAGCAGCTTAGTCCTTCATTTTTCTGATGAGTTATTCGTACTGCTTCAATGAATGGTTGTTTCACAAATAGAAACACGACTTTTCATTTTTAACTGTTCGTTTATCGGCTAAGATGTAATAGTGATTGAAATATATCAATGATAATTCCTTTAATTTCATTTTCTAAATTTTAGATAAATATTCTTTCAAATAATAGACAGTTATTTCAGATTGATTGTGAAAATTAATGAAACAAAAGTCGAATAATAGTTTTTGATATAAATCGGTTAGATTCAATGTTCTGAAGATATGTGCATCAAATTAAAAACAATTTCTTTTATTTTTGATGAATTTCTTTTACATATTACGAAGTTCAATCTAGCTATGACTTTAAAATGTGAGTTTGTTATTTTGTAATGATTCATAGTATACATTTAATGTTATCGTATATTTTAATTCTATCAATAATTTATTAACCTTTCTCTTTACTGATGTTGTCTTGTTCTCCATAATAATTTTTTTTTCATTTTGTATGTTCTTAAGATGGAAACTCATCTATATACTCTATATAAAAAAAACTTGACGTCACATGCAGCATATTTACTTCTCAATTTTCATGTTTGTCTCAGACTTTCATAATGTATGACTCTAGATTTTGTTAATAATTATATATTTAAATAAAGTAGATGAAATACAACTGTACTGAATAGAATGTAAATCTAGGAGTATTTTAAGCAAATCACTAAAATACACAAAAATGCTATATGAGTACTCTGAAAACACTCAAATTTATACGGCAAGTACTCAATAGTTATCCTCAGGTACTCAACTTTTTAGCATGAACACTTGATGGTCGTACTCAGATACTCAGATTCTAGCATAAGTACCACTGATGAGTACTCAAAACGCACGATTACTCATGAGTACTCGCGACATTTTCTACCGTGAGTACTTTCTGAGTACTCTGTTAATAAGTAGTTTCACTAGGGTGTTGTATCCGTTTTTTCCTCTAGCCACATATTTTCGAACAAATACGCTTCAATATTTATTACCCATAATTGAAAACTAAAATGAGCTTCAATGAAAACTTTTTCATAATTTTTTTACCAGTTGTGAAGTTTTTTGACTATCGTTGTAACCAGTGATAGTATGTTTGTGTTCACAATAATACATGTACTTTACGATCCATTCACAAACCATATTTATCGTTAGAGAATATATTTGAGTAACCTGTATTTCAAAAAATCGTAAGACAAAAAAAGCAGTATATATATAATCAATGGAAGTTTTTGAACATCTTATTATAATATTAGATTGTTTGGTGTTTTTTTGTCATTCTTCTTACAGTTGTTTATTCTGCATTTGTATAGTATACTAAAATTTTCGCTTTGATGAATGAGCGTTACTAGAATGTATTCTCTAATGATAAATCCATTTTGTGAATAATCCTAAATAGCGTCGGGCGCGATTAGTTTTTTGATCATGATCACGAAGATTCAATGATGACCAGGACAAATACAGATAAAAACGATGAAACTATTAATTATAAAAAGAGCTATTTTCTTATTTGATGGTATGGGTATGAACAATGAAGAATCAAACATTCCCACCCCACAACCACACTTAATGATTCTCTAGTTGTTCCATTTTCTAATACCGTTTTTATTTCAGAATTTTTGAAGAAACGGAATGAAAACAACAGAACGCAAATCTTATGAGCTTAGGCAAAATTGCAGTTCAGAATAATTTCAAATGGCCGTCAAACAAATAACAATTTCGTCTGGCCCTCAGTGACGATTCCACTTTGTCCCAGGGCTAGTTTAAATATTCCTAGGTTTTGATTGTTCTTGCAATATCTGTATACAGCTATTTTGATTGAGAAAAAATGAATATATTATCACAAAAAATTAAGGATTTGTAATTACTTGTGTTGTGAAAAAATTAATGTAGTTAATACAGACATAGAGTATGTGACTATTTCGAACTCATTACAATGGTATGTATTACTGCCTAAAATCGCTTTGAAGAAGTTTCGGAGAACGGATCAACCACATGAAAAACTTCTCATGCAAACTTACAGTGATTTTCACTTATGAATAATGAAAATCAAAGTGTATCTGTTCGATAGCATCTAGCTAGAGACAAAAGACGGATATTACATTTTTCTTCATAATATGACAAGTAAAATGATAAAAAACTTTTACCATGAAAGATAAAGCTAGCGATAGTCGATTCTTTTTATGTGGTAGGCAAAGCAATTTATATGGATGGGTGCATTCGTAGGCTGAGCAGTTGTCTGACTATGTCATCGAATGATCATATTTTCAAGTTTCTTAGGTAGCGGGAAAATATTATGAGCAAGATTTCTTTCAAAAACCTCGCATGCTTTTGCTCGAATTCTACGTTACATGAAGTGTTATTGTCTCTATTAATTTGATGTTGATATGGGTGCTAGTGTTAATCTTCAGCTGAGCCACAATTATGTTCACACCTAGATTCGATCCAAGATTTTGCATGTTGGAAAATTTTGGGAAAGCAAATCTTTTTTGCAAGTATGCAAACAATTTTTGGTATTCTGACGGAATCTTGTCAGAATTCTGCAGTTCAGGGTTCATCAGATGTAGGCTTTATTGTTTCTTATACTTCTACTTTTGTACAATAAGGAGTCTAGACTCGATTCTTCTGTCAAGATTTTGAAGAAATATTTCAAAAAGCCGAACAACATAATGATGATGAAGAAATATTTCCATCTTCCTCGATTCTCTAATTTCGTTCATAGATAGACGATTTCTTGTCTGATTTCAGGTGACTTCGTGCACTCAGTTTTCATGAGTCTTCATTTCTTTAAAGTTCTTCAGTATATCGACTATTTTGTGTGTTTTTCAACTACGTCATAGTTTCTACTATTTATTTCTATCTCTTTGAATATTTTTCTCTTCCATTCATATTATCCATGCAGAAAAGAAGAAAGAAAACACGAACAAAAACCCGTTGTTCAAATAATAAGACGCATTTGCAAGACCCTTTCAGCGCCAGTTTAAAATTCGTTTTCGCTATAAAAGAACGCGTTCTGATATCCTAAGAACGTTATATTAGAAAAACAGTTCTTGGGTGTTAAATCGCGTTCCAGAAGAACCCTAAAAGCGTCTTCACAACACGTTCAACGAGAACACATTTTCCCCAATAAGAACGCATTATTCTTTTGAAGCAAAAAAGCAGTTTCTTTTCAATTCTATGACGATCTTGAATGCGTTTTTTCATTACTCGTATACGTTCTCAGAGAACTAGTTCTTCCATTGATGATGGTGTGGGGGTGGATGTGTGGGTGAGTGTGAGTGTACTGGTCTCTATCTTCTTTCATTAACACCTACACCCACACTCACATCCCACCCAGTCCCACACGCACACGTCCATACACACACACAGAAGAAGTATTAGGAATGATCAATTTCTGATCAATCAAATTTAACATAGTTTCATGCTGTCACGATTTCTCTTCCGAGTGGTGAAAATCGCAAGTCTCTACCTTGTCCCTATCAAAAGTTATTCAAAAAGCAATCGATGACCTTGTATTTTGGAATGGATAGTGGCATCGAGATTCATAAAGTTACTGATCATTTATCCTTCGTTTCTATAATGAAAATATTAACTAACATTCGTTTTATTAGAATGCGTTAACTTTAAAAGTCATATAATATTGTACTCGTTTTTGGTTTCAGAATTTCCGGGAGTAGATCAGCGATTTGGTGACATTACGGAATATGGTTGTGCTAATATTACCGATGCACGTGCTTTGGCATCGACACTTATCGATGGACCAATGAAAGTTGCCGTTTATCGTGATGATTGGAAGCAATTTTGGCTGAAAGATTTGTCGAAATCAAATATTGAAAAGCCATCAGCAGATTCTGCCTGTACTATATTCTATTACAAACATCCTGAACGAAACATCGTCGAAACTCAAGGTATTGATCAATTTGGTGGCGATATTGGTGACTATATTTGTCTGAACATTGCCGTAGCTCGAGCTTTGGCCTATTCGCTCATTGACAGACCAACAAAAGCCGGAACTTATAGTGATGAATGGAAGAAATTTTGGCTTAAAGATTTGTCAAGATCAGATATTTGCGGACCGTCGGTCAATTGTCGCTGTACTACGTTTTATTTTAAGTAGAACTTCATTTGGACTTTTTCATTTTATAATAGACTATGATATTTTATTGAAAAATCTCAATTCTAGATTTTCAGGGACTATAATTAGAAGTCCTCATATTTGAACATAAACAATATGGGTCTGTCTTTGGCCAAAACCATCGAGTGATTTTTGAAAGACTTTTTGCGAATGAATAGTTTTCGAACAACTAACATATAAATAACTCTCACATTTTTCACACAAACTGACACTGCAATTCTCATATTTGAGGGTATTGATATCTTGACACATGGTTGGCAGCACTTCGACCATATCTTTTTCTGTATGATTCATCAATAGCTTATCAATATTCTTTCCATCACAATCGTCATACCATTGGATGGATAATGGGCATGTAAATTGAGTATTTTCGATTAACTATCTTTTTTGGAATTGTAACAAGATATATGTGAGCACGGTAATGATCGCGAAAAATTCCTTATGTTACAATATCTTTTATGTCGGCTGCTTGATTACTGGTCATAATTCTTCTATACTCATTCAATTCAGAGTAAACACTTCTGCATTTTGCAAGAAAAAGGTTCAATGACAAATCAACGATGAAGCCAATCCACAAGAAACCATTTTTGGATGAATTAAACGGGTACTTGACAAGCGTCATGTCTGATTGCTTCGATTTTCAGTCATATTTATTCATCAGGTTTATGCATAGAAGATTAAAAAAAATAATACATACAAAACTTCTGGTCAACTAAATATGATTAATCACATTTGCACGATGTTCTAAAAATGATGAAGGAAGTGAGTCGATTTGATGACAAAAAAAAGGCGCGTCAGTCATTTGAAATAAAAGAACAAAGACAAATGCAAATAATCAGTCAGCGGTAGCGTGGATCTGTCAGTTCCAAATTGATGGGCAGAAGACATTCTCATAGAAATACTTCGACGATGTACCTTACATCCATCATTTCATCAAGAGAGAATATTTCCTACATAATTTCAAACGTCTTTCAAACACTTATGCAATCTTGCAAACAAATTCACGATGCCATTCAAGAATTTTGTTGCTAGTCTTGCTCTCAGGCTCTTGATTTTTCTCAATATAACAATTGAACTCTAACCTGAAACGTTCTATGACAGCTTGGCTGGATGTGGGTGGGTGTGGATGCGAGTGGGTGTGTGTGTGTGGATGTGGGTGGGTGTGGGTCAAAGTCTTTTATTCATACCCACACCCATACCCACACCCACACCCACACCCACACTCACACTCACACCCACATCCACACCCACACAGCCACACCCACCCACAGCCACACCCACACTGACCCACACCCACACCCACACTGACCCACACCCACACCCACTCCCCACACCTACCCACACTCAGACCCACACCCACCCACCCACCCACCCACTCACACCCACACTCACACTCACACCCACATCCACACCCACACAGCCACACCCACCCACAGCCACACCCACAC